GTGCATAATGAGAAAAAACTGACATTGTAAAACAGCGACTTTGCGGTGTATTTTCGTATGGTTTTTTTTTTGGTCTCATTTGATATATTACAGAAATAGATATGATTTTGATTGGTTTCATGATGGAAAGTACCTTGAAATTAAGCTAAAAGTAGGGGGAAATGTTCGATTTTTGCCAATGTTTAAGAGTAAAAAAATGGCATCGCCATCCAATACGTGTCCAAACGGCCGGTCTGATACGCAGTCACGAATGGGCTGACATTTATACATTACAGTAATGCAGTAGTCTGCATGACAATAAATCTTCTATTTTTGTGAATAAAAATTGAGAATGGAAAGCACGCATAATATAAGAGGGGCCTAGGGACATGACTAATGAACAGAAAAAAATTATTTTATTGCCAGGAATGTCTGCATTGTTTATTCTGAACCCTATTTTGAAATTGGCTTCTTTAAATTTGTGTGATATTGGCCACATTACAGATTTCTGACCACTTTACTGGGTAGCTGAAATAGGTAAATGGGCGACTTCTTGTACTCAATCGACAAAGTATAATGAATACTAGCAAAATAGCTATGAGTTTGGTAAACTGGAACACTGGAATGGGCCAAAAATAGGGCGTAAAGTGGGCGAAATCGCCGATGTGTAAATATTGCCTTTGGGTTGTGTATTCTAACCTAACCACTCAAATCCAGCAAAATCCCTAGTCTGGCATCCTTGTCATGTAGGGGGAGGGGGGTATTGGAATGTATGAATAATTTGGGAATATGGGAGTAAGGGGGTCAGTAGGCAGGGGACAGGCAGGCAAGGTGGTAGGAGTGAGGTATGCGGAGGTAGGTAGGTAATTTGAGGTCACTGGTGACTACATCTTCACCTCTCATTACTCTACACTCCACACTACTCACCCTCTCACTGCTTTAACTAAACATAATAAAATATAAGAACTAGGAATAGCAAATAACGGGGACAGTGAATATTACTATTCTACTCACAGTTTATTATTAAGTCCTTGTACAATAATATATTTGGGAACAGAACATTATTGTGGTTTAGATAAATGGGGTGGTACACATAAGCAGTGATACAGGGAACACAATCAACTTGACCAAAATGAATATAACTTACAATATAGTTCAGAGGACAGTTCGACACAGGAACTAAGACCTATACAGCACGAGTACTGCGCCAAGCCAGTACTCTGCCCAATGCCTCCAACAGTCTCCTCCAGAGACTTCAGCAGCCTTCTCCCGAGCCCTGCACACCGGCCAGAGCTCCTCTCGACGTCTGTGTGCTCGGAGCTCTGCACCCAGGCCAGAGCTCCGCACGAATCTCCTCTGCTCAGCTGTTCCTTGGGCTTATATGGTGGTCCAAGCACACCCAACAACCACGTGTACGACCTGACGCCTGGATTTGACGCCAGTGACGAACAAAGGTGCTGAGACTTAAGCCGGAAAGGCGTGTCTCTGACAGACATTTGCCAAGGCAAGGTGACCATATAATTGGTTAAATTAGGTCTCCCCAGAAACCTCACAAGCCCAGCTGAACTACATCACATCCTACAGGTCCCGATGATGCCAGATTAGCGATGGTCAACCTGTACAGTATGTTCCATGAGGTACACGCGTGTTCGTTCATGAGTAGTGCAGTACAAATACTAGTAGTGGAGGCTCGATCCTCAGATAGCGATCTCAGAACTGAAAGGATCAGAATCTCATGTACAGTAACAGTGTCTTTCACTTTTTTGCATTAGCAAGCTGAAGAAAGAAGAATGTTCCTTGTTCACTCATACCTTCAGTCTACAACCCACAATTGAACAAAAATAAGAAACCCTGACTTCAATATTTTTGAAAGTTGGGAACCCTAAATAGTTCTCATTGGAAATTAATCACATTGGATTATATCAGGTCATGCTACATTAACCCTTTCAGGGTCAGCAGGCCCTCTCCTAAACTTGTTCTTGGAGCCGGGGAAAAAAAAAATTATTTTTTATGAAATGATAGAGAATCTTTTCTCGATCATAACGACACCAAAAGTACGAAATTTGATGGAAAGCTTACGGAATTATGCTCTCGCGAAATTAGTGGTTTCAACGATATTTACGCATCGGAGATTTTGCACAGTTTGAGCCCTATTTTCGGCCAATTCCAATGTACCAGTCGACAAAAATCAACTATTTCGCTAGAACTCCATTTTTCCTATCAAATGAATACAAGAAACCACCCATTTACCGATTTCAACTATCCAATAAAGTGGTTCGAAACGCAATTTTGCCAATTTCACACAAATGTCAAAAGATACCAATTTCCAAATAGGGTTAGAATAAACAAGACAAACATTCCTGGCACTAAAATAACACTTCCTCTGTTCATTAGTTACATCCCCAGGCCTCTCTTACATTTCTTTTGCTTTCCAATTTGAATTTTTATTCTCAAAAAATAGAAGATTTACTGTTATGCAGACTACTGCATTAGTGTAGAAATGGTATAAATAATATCAGTGCACTTGTGAAAGAATATTAGACTCAGCAGTTGATGTGTATTGGATGCATGGCATGATTTATTTACTATTGAACTTGGGCAAAAATCGAACATTTTTGCTACTTTGAGCTCAATTTCAAGGTACTTTTCATTGTGAAACCAATAAAAATCATCTCAATTTCTGTAATATGTCTCCCATTCCATAAATGAGACCAGGAAAACTAGAATACAACCATAAATAGCATACGAAAATACACTGCTAAGTTGCAGTTTTAAACCAAAAATATGGTCGGAGTTTTTTTTTCTCATTATGCAGTGTGTGCTGCAGGATTTTTTTATACTGCACACACTGACCACAGACCCATTCTTTCATATGTAGGCCTACCAGCTTTCTCTTGCTAGATTGAAAGGTGCTAGAATTTGTGTGTACTAGTACAGTACCAACCCTGGCGTGCAAGCCGTACTAGTACGGCACCAACCCTGAAAGGGTTAAATTCTACGTAATTTATTATGTAAGAGCATTGATGATGAATTAGACACTTTCAAAACCTGGGTATCTTTATTTGTAGACGTTTCAACCTTCAATGACTATCAGCACAATTTAAGGATGAAATGTGAAGACAGTAGAACTATATACATTATAATAAAAAAAAAGTGCTAAACCTACAAGGGTCATACAGCAGAACTATATACAAAAGATGAAATAATCACTCCCTCAGCCTTAGAGTTGAAGAGCACCGTAGCCTTGAAGGACCTGAAACACAGGCAAGAAGATTGGTGCTTTAAGGACCCCAATGTAAACAAGTCACTGACTTTTTTGGGGTTATCTTAGGTAATCTACACATATGCTGCTATGCATGATAATGTATGTAACTGTATTTATGTATACCTGTACCTGAATAAACTTGCTTGCTTTTATACTGGCATCAGACGAGGTGTAGCAAAGACATTGTCACTGGTAGGTGAGATCCACCAGTGGAAGTGTTATGGCTAAGAGGAGTAGGAAAGAAGGTTGGGGAGATGTTCTCTGTACTAACATTCCATGATGTTGAAGTGTCTGGCAAGTTGTACATGAATGGCATACAATATCAGAATTGTTGGATTAAATTTATGCAAGAGTGAAATAAAAATTTTCCTAGCAGACTAGAATTACACAATTCCTTCCTCCAAGGCTGCCACCCACTATGAAAGTAATCACAAGTAATCTAAATTATTATAATCAAAAAGAAACGTTAAACTTACAAGGGTCATACAGCACAGCAGGGCAGGGAAGGGTGCAGGGGTATTGGGCAGCAAGACAGAGGGATTATTATTAGGTCATACAGTGCAGTGGGGTAGGGGCAGAGGGCAACAAGAGGTAGAGGTAGAAAGAGCTGTGAGGAATGCTAGAGGCATCAAAGTTTGTGCAGCAAATCAGTTGCTGCCAAAAAGTTAACAAGAGAGTCTGGGTTAAAGTTGGGTCCATCAGCAAGAAGGGAAGATAAAGTAAGGGCATTAGAGCGGTGATGATGTGGGAGGTCAATTCTGCGTGCTCGTTGATAAAGTGGGCAGTCCAACAGAATATGGCTAACAGAAACTGGAACCTGACAATTCTCACAGAGTGGAACAGGGCGCCTCTCCATGAGATACCCGAGTAACACAAGTGTGTTCGATGCGAAGCCGGGAGAGTGTACTCTCTCAACCACGGCATTGATGACCAGGAGATGGCCAGAAACCTATACAGCCTCTCCTCACTTAACGACCGAGTTCCGTTCCTAAAGCCACATCATTAAATGAATTCGTCGCTAAGTGAGGAGCATATTATAATGGTAGAAGAGTTTGTGGCAACCATCTTTGATATTGTTTTAATGTCACCTTTGCACCATTTATAACATTGCTGGTATATTTTTAAATGTTTATATAGAGTAAACATGATGGCTTGATTAACATTCAAACTTGTGGCAAAGCTAGTAATGCATTATCTGTCTCCTCAACCATCTGTGTGTGCCAAACCATCTACATCTTTTCTGCCACCTACCTATACTTCTCCCACACCATCTGTGGTGTTGCTGCTGCTGCTGGAGTTTTACACCTATGACTCATAACAGAGGTTACTTTACACAAATAACCTGCACATAGGAGAGAGGAGCTTAGTGATGTTTCCATCCGTGTGACTTTGTAAATGGTCCAAGATGGACCATGTGCGGGTTATCTGTGTATTGTTCCAGTCACGGTAGTGCACCTTTTTGTTCTTTCTAAACATTACTCTGTCGCCACCAGACAATATAGTTACCCAACTGAAAGCTTATCAGACCATGGTACCATTGATATATCTTCAATGAGCTACGATTGTCTGTCTACTCCCAGAGCTCGACCTTGGGCCAGGCTGGTCTGGTGCTTGCCTGGTAATACTGTGGTTTATTCTTAATATGTCTCATGATTCCATCAATGCAGTGGACTTTATTCATTGCACTGGGATTTTTGTGTCCAGCAGTCCATCAATACAGAACATAGTTCACTGCATTGAAGATCAATGCAATGGATTTTCATTAAAGCCAACACCCCCTTCACCTCATTAGTCCAATACATCAATGATTCAGTGCATTTTTTTTTTTTTTTACATTCCAAGTTGTTCTGTCAATGTGCTTTATCTACACTGGTGTTATCATAGCATGTTATAGATCACTCAGGCTTCTAACTGTATTCCTTTGACAATCACATTCATTATTTCTCTCCAATATTTCTGATGTGACAAATACACCAAAGTTACATTTTCACTGGAGGTATTTTCTTTGTCTAATTCATCAGCATTATAAAATAGGATTAGGATTATTACAGTTACATTTATGGAAAGGGCTCTAAGCCAAAAGGAATCAAAGTATTTTAGGAGAAAGGAGGCCTGGTCACAGACCAGGCTGCGGGGGCACTGATCCACAAAACCCTGTCCTGGTATCCTCCAGGTTATTCAGTGTCTCTGTCCTTAATTTAAATTAATTCCTTTATTTTTTTGCCATTTTCATTTTAAATTATAGTATCAGCACCCCTTTAGCAAGATACTGATGGACCGAGTTTTTTTTTTTTTCCCCGGGGAGCACCTTACCTCAGAGGGAGGGGGAAAAAAACTGCACCTAAGTTAAGCAATGAACACGATGTTAAACAAGTATTATGCAAGCTGCATGCACCCAGTGATGACACAATCAGTAATGATGCAGGCTTCATCAAGCTCATCGTCAAACAAGCTAGTGACATTAGGATGGCAAGCAGTGCAATTTCTAATGGAGAAGTTCCAATGTTAAATTTTATGCCTAACTCGACATGGCTGCTGTAATTCTTATCTACAAAGGTGTCAAGATCAGATGCAGCCCTGATGGTAGACTGCCTAGATTATTATTATTATTACTATTCTTTCTTTCAACACACCAGCCGTATCCCACCGAGGCGGGGTGGCCCAAAAGGAAAAACGAAAGTTTCTCCTTTTACATTTAGTAATATATACGGGAGAAGGGGTTACTAGCTCCTTGCTCCCAGCATTTTAGTCGCCTCTTACGACACGCATGGATTACGGAGGAAGAATTCTGTTCCACTTCCCCAAGAAGACTGTCTAGATTCATCAGTGTATATAATTTGCGACATTAACAGTTATGATAAATTGCTTCAGGAATTGCATTTGATTCTAAGGGATCTCTCTCTCTCCTTTAGTGAATGTAATAATTTTTGCCTAGAGACCAATAAACCTACAGGGGTCATAATGCATCTGGGGAATAAAAAATAATCAAGTCTGTTCCAAAGTAATGTTAGCTCTAATTCCCTGAATCAAGATACTTGTGTTAGTATTAAGGGCAAGAAAGTAGCAAGACTTGTAATGTGTGAGTATTATTATTAATTATTATAATTAATCACTAAATTTGGCAAAACCAAACAGGTCACAAAGCACTTAAGAGCAAGGGAAATTATTGTCAAAGTAGTAATGCAAGGAGTTAACTTACAAGCTAACAGAGCCTAACTTTGAGAAGAAAGTCAGTTTCAACTAAAATGTCAGTGTGCACACAATGAAAGCAGAGCTTTCAGAAAGAAGAGGTAAAGTCCCAGGAGCTGAAAAAAAAAAAAAATAGAAAAAAGGTGATGTCTGAAATGAATTTGTTCAATGTACTTTTTGCTAAATAGAATGAAAAGGTGTCTGACTATCAACAAGATATAAGTTCATCAATGCCATACCTGAGTGGTAGATTGATGTGGGCAATACACATGCAAGAACAGTTTCCCAAATACAACAGCGATGAAAGTAAACCAAGAGCTCACACGAGGTCAATGCAGCTCTGCTTTTATCCGGACCAATAACACTGCAATCAAGTCTCAAATGAGCAGAAAAAACCAGATTGAAAAGAGCAGACTGATGCAGTTTACATGTTCACTGCTTTGAATACCAAAGTGAACTGGGACACAAAGATGTTATACTGTTCAGAAAGAAGACAAGCCATTAATAGATTTCAAACTGCCTTAGATGAACAACTGAAGCAAAGAAAATCATTAGAGTTAAGTCCTCAACTTACGAACACACTGAGAATCTTCTGTAGAGTATCATTATTACACACAATACAGAAGGTCCCCAACGAGTTCCTAAGAGGAAGAATTCCTGTATTACGAATATTACAACTCAGGAGGTCCCCAATGTGTTCATAAGCTGAGGACTCGCCGTACACAACTTGTGTAAAATCAAATGTATTTATTGCTTAATTTAATAAAATGGCAATTGCAAAATACAGTACATATAATTAGTGTACAGTATGATGAATCACAGAATACAGCATATTTAATTAACTATCAAAATACTCACATGCAAACTAAATTTCTGTATACATGTACTAATTCTTGGCAGCCTTTGGCAAGTCAGCTTCTTGGTACTTTTCATGGAACTCCTTGTTCATCTTGGCCACACTCTCCCCCCTTTCTTGGGCCTTCTTGCCAGAGTAGACCATAGCAAGACAGCCTAGTAGAGTGGCTACACACATGTATGCACTGATCCTAATCCTAGCCTTGTTGCGGGCACGTTCCATTACATCTTGGCTGTGAAAGGAGTCACTTGATCAGGTTACACGTATCAAGATACTGAAAGTGTTTCTGGAAAATTACATTTACCTGGATGTATCTCATTAGATACATACCAGTAAATAGTAACAAAGATAATTATTATTTATCAAAGTTACATAGACAAGTAGGAATTTTGAGACACCTAGGTCGCAAAAATGTCCCCCTTCGATACCTACAACTGTCATATCCACAAGTTGTTCTAGACCTATATTAATTGCAAATGAAATATACATCACCAGGAATTCTGGTAAAATTTAATATAAACATGTGGACTGTATATTAAAATTAATAAATGATTACATATACACATTTATGTAACAGAAGGAGAATTTATAATCATAACTCTCACCAATTAGTCTGGAGATTTCTGTGTGTCATGTACAGAACCCCCTCTACCTAAATTTATGATGATAATACAGTGGACCCCCGCATAGCGACTTTAATCCGTGCAAGAGGGCTCATTGTTATGCGAAATGATCGGTATGCGAATGAATTTTCCCCATAAGAAATAATGGAAATCAAATTAATCCGTGCAAGACACCCAAAAGTATGAAAAAAAAAATTTTACCACATGAAATATACATTTTCCTACACACAAAGAGAAGGATACATGCACAATAGTAGAGTAGTACATGCACAGTATATATTGTGCATGTACTAGTCTACTAAATGAAGAATAAATGACACTTACCTTTATTGAAGATGCAGCAATGACTGATGAGACACTGTGTCCTGGGAGTGCCTTTTCCTCCTGAGTACTGTAGGTCCTGTTTGGATTTTCTTCCAGAACAGGCCTTATCACACTGTGTATGCCACTACGATTCTTAAATCTCTCAAACCAACCTTCGCTGGCTTTAAATTCACCAATATGAGCACTAGTTCCAGGCATTTTTCCCTGTTCACCTGGGTGTTAGTCGACTGGTGTGGGTTGCATCCTGGGAGACAAGATTAAGGACCCCAATGGAAATAAGTTACAGTCTTCGATGACACTGACTTTTTTGGGTTATCCTGGGTGGCAAATCCTCTGGGGTTAATTGTTTCTTGGTATTCTCAATAAGCCACACCAACAACGGTGCTACAGCAGCAGCAGCAGCAGCTGACAGTGCTACAGCAGCAGCAGCAGCTGACAGTGCTACAGCAGCAGCAGCAGCTGACAGTGCTACAGCAGCAGCAGCAGCTGACAGTGCTACAGCAGCAGCAGCAGCTGACAGTGCTACAGCAGCAGCAGCAGTGACAGTGTACAGCAGCAGCAGCAGCTGACAGTGCTTCAGCAGCGCAGCAGCTGACAGTGCTACAGCGCAGCCAGCAGCTGACATGCTCAGCAGCGCCAGCAAGTCTGGATCTCTAAGCACACACAGCAGCTGACAGTGCTACAGCAGCAGCAGCAGCAGCTGACAGTGCTACAGCAGCAGCAGCAGCTGACAGTGCTACAGCAGCAGCAGCTGACAGTGCTACAGCAGCAGCAGCAGCTGACAGTGCTAACAGCAGCAGCAGCAGCTGACAGTGCTACAGCAGCAGCAGCAGCAGCTGACAGTGCTACAGCAGCAGCAGCACAGCTGATAGTGCTACAGCAGCAGCAGCGAGCTGAAGTGCTACAGCAGCAGCAGACGATGCTACAGCAGCAGCAGACGGTACTACAGCAGCAGCTGACGGTGGTACAGCAGTAGCAGCAGCAGCTGACAGTGGAGCAGCAGCAGCAGTACCACCAATAGTAGCGATGGTTGATTGGGGTTTATTATACAACCTGGCCAGCTCGGAGACACGCACTCCACTTTCATACTTATCAATGATCTTTTTCTTCATCTCTATAGTAATTCTCACCCTTATTGCTGTAGGGTTGGCACTAGAAGCTTTCTTGGGGCCCATGGTCACTTATTTTGCAGATAAAATCACCAAAAACACTGTAATAATACGAAATGTTCCGATTGTATGCTTGGATGTTACCGCGGAGGCTGGCTGGTAAACAATGCCACCGGCGGCACATGTGAGGCTGGCTAAGGGCGCACATTGGACGCGTCTCGGACGAAGAGCGGTGAGCGGGTTTTTGAGCGGTATGCGAGGCAAAATTTTTGCGATAAAAGCGAGCGGTATGCGGATTGAACGTTATGTGATGCGTATGGTATGCGGGGGTCCACTGTACTGGCCAGAATTACAAACATAATTTAGACAGCTTATCTGAGGTTCCTGGAGCTGTCTTGTCCATCTGCTTAATGCTCACATTATGCAGGACTGCACATCCAACAATTTCAGCTCCTATTTGAGAAGTTTTAAGCCCAATAAAACCTCTAGAGCGACGAAAATTATGCACATTACATTAGGGTGCTTGTACCACATTCAAAAACAATGGTGTCTTCTCCCTGCTCCTCAGCGCAGGCGCAGAGCTCCCCTCGCTGGTTCACTTCTTTACTTTAGAGCAATAGTAATGTATTCATCAGGTTTATTTACACAGCTTAATTCTGGGAATATTTTCCACAGTGTTCTTCGCTTTTCCTCAAAATTCGACAATCTTCCAAATGCATCTCAGATGACAACTTTCGTCATCTTCCGCCCAAATCCAAATTCTCTAAATACAGCCTCTCCTTACATAACGACGGAGTTCCATGCCTAAGACCATGTCAGTAAATGAATTTGTCACTAAGCGAGGAGCATACTATAATGGTATTGGGTTTGTGTCAACCATCTTTGATGTCATTTTAATGTCACTTTCACATCATTTATAACATTTTTAGTATATTTTTAAATGTTTATACAGTAGTGTACTGTATACTGTAATAAACAGAATAGAGGAAATCAGGTATGCATACTGGTCAGAGAGCCGGTCGTAAGTCTGAGTTGTTGGTAAATGAGTACGTCACTCAAGGAGGAGAGGCTGGATGCCCTAATATCTCTTTCCATAGTTGATCATTAAATACTGTAATAACTGCTTGAACTCTATTCTCAGATACACTATAATTTACCTAAAAGGCATTGTATATTAAAGTTTGTGTGTGTCTCTACCACTGCTTTATTACATGTAAACTACGTACTGTACCACAAAGAAAAACTTATTTGTATTTAACCCTATTTGCTCCTCACTAAGTCCCTTATCCCCTTTAACCCTTCACTCTCCGGGCCCCTAAAATTAATATTGTCTAATTTATTTATATTTATGTATCTTCTTTCTTTCAACGTACCAGCCGTATCCCACTGAGGCGGGGTGGCCCAAAAGAAAAAACTGAAGTTTCTCCTTTTAAATTTAGTAATATATACAGGAGAAGGGGTTACTAGCCCCTTGCTCCCGGCATTTTAGTCGCCTCTTACGACACGCATGGCTTACAGAGGAAGAATTCTGTTCCACTTCCCCATGGAGATAAGAGGAAATAAACAAGAACAAGAATTAGAAAGAAAATAGAAGAAAACCCAGAGGGGTGTGTATATATATGCTTGTACATGTATGTGTAGTGTGACCTAAGTGTAAGTAGAAGTAGCAAGACTTACCTGTAATCTTGCATATTTATGAGACAGACAAAAGACACCAGCAATCCTACCATCATGTAAAACAATTACAGGCTTTCGTTTTATCACTCACTTGGCAGACGTAGACCCGGGCGTTGCGTCTACCAACCTACTACTACAATTTTATGTATATCAACATATATTTTTTATTATCACCTGGCCGATTCCCACCAAGGCAGGGTGGCCCGAAAAAGAAAAACTTTCACCATCATTCACTCCATCACTGTCTTGCCAGAAGGGTGCTTTACACTACAGTTTTTAAACTGCAACATTACACACCCCTCCTTCAGAGTGCAGGCACTGTACTTCCCATCTCCAGGACTCAAGTCCGGCCTGCCGTTTCCCTGAACCCCTTCATAAATGTTACTTTTGCTCACACTCCAACAGCACGTCAAGTATTAAAAACCATTTGTCTCCATTCACTCCTATCAAAAAACGCTCACAGCATGCCTGCTGGAAGTCCAAGCCCCTCGCACACAAAACCTCCCTTACCCCCTCTCTCCAACCTTTCCTAGGCCGACCCCTACCCCCGCCTTCCTTCCACTACAGACTGATACACTCTTGAAGTCATTCTGTTTCGCTCCATTCTCTCTACATGTCCCGAACCACCTCAACAACCCTTCCTCAGCCTCTGGACAACAGTTTTGGTAATCCCGCACCTCCTCCTAACTTCCAAACTATGAATTCTCTGCATTTATTCACACCACACATTGCCCTCAGACATGACATCTCCACTGCCTCCAGCCTTCTCCTCGCTGCAACATTCATCACCCATGCTTCACACCCATATAAGAGCGTTGGTAAAAACTATACTCTCATACATTCCCCTCTTTGCCTCCAAGGACAAAGTTCTTTGTCTCCACAGACTCCTAAGTGCACCACTCACTCTTTTCCCCTCATCAATTCTATGATTCACCTCATCTTTCATTCCGCTGACACGTCCACTCCCAAATATCTGAATACATTCACCTCCTCCATACTCCTCCCTCCAATCTGATATTCAATCTTTCATCACCTAATCTTTTTGTTATCCTCATAACCTTACTCTTTCCTGTATTCACCTTTAATTTTTTTCTTTTGCACACCCTACCAAATTCATCCACCAATCTCTGCAACTTCTCTTCAGAATCTCCCAAGAGCACAGTGTCATCAGCAAAGAGCAGCTGTGACAACTCCCACTTTTGTGTGTGATTCTTTATCTTTTAACTCCACGCCTCTTGCCAAGACCCTCACATTTACTTCTCTTACAACCCCATCTATAAATATATTAAACAACCACGGTGACAATCACACATCCTTGTCTAAGGCCTACTTTTACTGGGAAAAAATTTCCCTCTTCCTACATACTCTAACTTGAGCCTACTATCCTCGTAAAAACTCTTCACTGCTTTCAGTAACCTACCTCCTACACCATACACTTGCAACATCTGCCACATTGCCCCCCTATCCACCCTGTCATATGCCTTTTCCAAATCCATAAA